ACTTAGGTAATTTTCACACATTTAACAGAAAAATAATACCAAAATGTTAACTTTAAAACAATACATTATAAACCAATGGTATATGCTTTAAATACACTTTAGTTATTCAAATCCAATTCTTCATTAATTCTTGACATCAAATAAATAACTTTATGAACTTAACTGAAGGAGGACATAAAATATTTGCAAAGGAAACATTTGAAGTGAATCAACTAATATGCCAGTTCAACTCTGAGCTGCTATGTTTATCTTATCAGTAGTAAAAAATAACAAGTCTATTACATTCAAGGTATACAGCAATGCCCACCATGACGTTTTCTGTTAGAAAACATTTTTCTTTTAAACAATTTTTCTTTTAAATAGAAATATCAAGAAACTAATGCTGATATCTTATTATCATTAGTTTCCAATGTCAAGAACACAATTATCAGATATGTTTAAATGCACATTCACAACTACTCTGTCTTTAAACATTTTGAGATTTAACTTGCAGAAGAAATATGTATTTTAAATATTAAATATTCATAACTTTAACTCTACAGCTTTCTTCTTTCTAATGCTCATAGACTGGATGTTTATACAAGTTCATGGAATATTCCCAAGTATTTTCCACAACTTAATATTACGACCATAAAACTGAAAGAGCTCAGTCATACCTTAGTAATTTTTAAGGCCTTCACTTTGCCAGTATGTCTAACATGAGGGCCACGACACAAATCAATCAACGGACCACATCTGTAATATGTTAATAATATCTCTTGAGTTGTTACCATTCACACTACAGGTTCTTCAAGCATCAATACAATATTTGAAACACAAATTTCATTTGATGAATATGAATATTCAATGAAACCAGTACAATTCAGTAACAAGTTGTGAAACAAATGATAGATTGGGTTTCATATTCATTTTTATTATTTTAAAACAGCTTGTTTTATGAATAAATTAGTAACATAAAAACTGGATATCTTTTAAATTCTATATATGTTCACCTTGTTGAGTAAAAGACAATTCAAAACAACATACAAATTACATTTAATTAAATTTAGAAAGTAATTACATAATTATTAAAAAAAATGATTTAAAATGAATCTATAAAAATCGCTTGCAATTTTTAGTTACTGCCAAGTGATAAAACTGTAAGTAAAAGTTAAGAATTGTGTCTCTCAACCTGCACATATTGATTATTTAAAACATTAAAACTTCTCAGGACCATAACGATACCTGTAAACTGTTGTAGTAGGAGTTTTCACTCTTTCCTTCAAGATGCGGACTTTGAATGGATTATACTGCAGAATCAAATTACTTAAATTAGTATCTTATTTGAGAAAAATGTTGTGATGGCAGAAAAAAAAGTTTTCACCAAGGTGAATAACAAGAAACTGAGATACAGCATTAAATACATTATATGCAAAATTAAGAGAACTAGTTAAACATGTTAAAATAAATTATTTACATATGTAAAAAAAAAGAAAAAAGGCAAGATATCCATTAGAAGTCAAATACAAATGTTACACTGATTAGGTTTACGTAATAAAAATCGTTTGAGAAACTAGGATTAATTCTACATTCTGAAGAAAAAACATTTTGCATATTTCTCTATCAAGCAGACCAATGTATTGGTCCAGCAGTATATTTGAATAGAAGAAACATGCAGAATTACAACAAATATTACACTTAAAATGTCACACACCAGCCTTGGAACAAATAAATAGTAATGTCATTTTGATCCACCATTGACTTCAGCTTAATGCCAAATTAAAAAACAAGTTCTATAATTTCATGAATTATGAAAGACAAAATGAATAACACCTTCCTGTGACCAATCAGCTTCATTCAAAACTAAAGTGTATGGTTTATAAATAACCAAAGTTTGGTTTGAAAACAAATAACTTAATATTGAAACTTGCTAAAAAAGAAGAAAGTGGTTGATTCTTAAAGTATCGTTTTTTAAAATGTGGCAGTTTACATATTGAACAAATAGGATGCTGACTTAGCAATAGAGCATAGGAATATTTACACTATTAATTCTTTCAGCACGGGCTTGGTCCCTGGGACCGACCTCCTAACCATTTTGTGCTTGTTATAGTTTTCATGCTATAACTTTTAAATTAGTAAGCAAATGTTAACCAAATTTGGCAGATTACAGTAAACATTACAATGCTTTCATATGCAAAATATCAAAATTTTTTATCAAGTCTTAAGGTTTGTAAAGCAATATATTTCTCCTGCCTTTTTTCTTCTTTTCACATGTTGCCTATCTATCGTGCAAAGTAATTTTCATTTTAAGATTTAAAATACTTTTATGCATCAGAAAATATTCCAATTTCACATGCAAAATCTATATAATGTCTGGATAATTATTAAACGTATCTTAAGAAAAACTTTATATTTTACCTGTTATTTTCGGTAATTAATTTCTGTATGGGTTTGGTAGATTTGACCGATCTTGTAACCACCGTAAAAAATTAGGAAATAAATATCAATTATGCTTCCTTTATTCTAGAATGAACACAAATTATAAAATAAAAACATAAATATTTAGACTAAATAGCTTATATCTCATAACATTATTAATTTATATATATTTATTATATTGACCTTTTAGCTGTGCCTGGCTAACAATACAGAAGTTACAATGACGCGGCTCATGTGCAATCATGTTACTGTATCAAATAACATAAAACTGACCTTTGGTCTGTACAACGTAACTAGTCTTGGCTATGTTTTAGTAAACTAGTATTTTGTAAAATACAGTCACATTTCAATTATTATACATTATATATGTATATAAATTATTGCTATTTTGAAATATGTTCTCAAACTTATTTTTCTTAAAACATAGAACAGTAATTAAAGAAGTAAAACAAACAATTATCTCTTCTAGTTATGACCTTTGTACTTGGTTGATGCTTGATGTAGGTTGCTAAGCCTTTAAAAAATTTGCATGTGGAGGATATGAAACAAAATAATTTGTTTAGGTTTTACATATACATTTCAATAATTAAAGAATCATAAATTACTACATCGATACCACAGAATTATACTATAATTTATCAAGCTTAGTAACTAAGATGTATTTTAGTCTAAAAAAATACAAAATTTTGAGCAGACTAAAGACACACCCTACCACCTTGAAATATTGGTTCAAAAGAAAGATATGGTGTCCAAGCCAGTTAAAATGGCTGAGAAAGTCACTCGTGGGACATTCTGAGCTTCTGATTGGTTATTCATGTCATATATAGAAATAAGTGTATATAAGGGAGTGTTTCAAAAATAGAAAGAGGTGGGCAGGGTGCCACTGTGCTTGATTTATTACATG